ACTCGATCTGGGTAATGGAGTTATTTACAAGTTATTATGGGTGGGCTTTTTTCTCACAGTCTTGGCCCAAATCATATTTTTACACTTGACTTGGAGAAATCTTAAAATATCAACCCAGAAAAGCAAAATATTTAATTTAAAATACTAACAAGAAATTCCAAAATACCACAAAGTTTATATTAACTCTTAAATACAAATGTAATTTTCCATTTTTCTCAAATATTTAAAAAATCATAACTTAATTGGTTAAGTTTTATTACATTTCCATTTTCCATTTGGAAATTTCAGCATTATCAACTTTTTTAGTTATCTATCTTTTAAAAAATTCCCCCAAAATTATATGTTGAATATTTGTAAAATTCGAAATAGAAAGTACTATTATTACCAAAGTCCGAGACCATAAAAACGGGAAAAGTAGTACTCCCAAAACCATAAAAGGAAATTCCGAACATGTAACACAACACAAAGTAAAAAAGAAATTCACAAATCGCTCCTTATATATATACATGACTCATAATGTCATAACTTCATCATCAAACTCTTTCAATTTCCTTGTCTGTTAAAAAAACTCTTCAAATCTCTCTCTGCGTTTTTTAAAAGGTTTTCACAATGGAGAAGTTACTTGTTGGACAAGCAACCAATGAAGAAGCTCTTAGATCAAAGACGAAGATAGTTTGTACACTAGGACCAGCTAAACCAAGGTCAAGAGATTACAATCTCAATCGATTACAACCTAAAAGGAGATTCAAACGTAATCTCCATGAGCTACAAGAAACTTGCATAGGATCTCAAACCTGGAGACGTGATACTCTGTTCAGACGGGACAATCTCTCTAACGGTTTTGCCCTGTGACAAGTATCTAGGTCTTGTTCGTTGCCGATGCGAAAACTTTGCAATTCTTGGAGAAAGAAAAAACGTTAATCTACCTGGAATCGTGGTCGATCTTCCAACACTCACTGAGAAAGATAAAGAAGACATTATGCAATGGGGAATTCGGAACAAAATCGATATAGTCGCTCTTTCTTTTGTTCGCAAAGGATCTGACCTAATCCAAGTGAGGAGTTTACTTGGTGAACACTCAAAGAACATTATGCTTATGTCAAAGGTGGAGAATCAAGAAGGAGTGGTGAATTTCGATTCGATTCTTGCGAATTCCGATGCGTTCATGGTGGCTAGAGGAGATCTCGGGATGGAGATTCCGGTCGAAAAGATGTTTCTTGCTCAGAAAACAATGATCAAAAAGGCTAATGCTCTTGGGAAACCAGTCGTCACTGCAACACAGATGCTTGAGTCGATGATCAAATCTCCTCGTCCGACTAGAGCTGACCGACGTTTTAAACGCCGTTCTTGATGGTACAGATTGCGTTATGCTAAGCGGCGAAACAGCAGCCGGAGATCACCCTGAGACCGCCGTGAAAACAATGTCGAGGATCTGTAAAGAAGCAGAAAATTTCATCGATTACGATACTCTACATAAGAAAACCCTAGAAATCGTTCCTTTACCTTTATCACCAATCGAGAGCTTAGGTGCTTCCGCTGTTTTAACGGCGAGGTGTCTACGTGCGTCGGCGATCGTGGTTCTTACCAAAAGCGGTTATACGGCGGAGCTCGTGGCGAAATACAGGCCGAGCGTTCCGATTTTGTCGGTGATTGTGCCGGAGATTGGTAGGAGCGATGGTTTCGTGTGTTCCACGGCTCATGTGGCGAGACGTGGTTTGATTTACCGTGGGATTATTCCGGTAACGACGATGGGATCTTCGGATACGGAGGAGACGATTAGGTTGGCGATCGGATTAGCGAAAATAGTGAATCTGTAAGAGTGGAGATTCGATTGTGGCTTTGCACAAGATCAATGGTTCCTCTGTTGTGAAGATAGTGACTGTGGAGTAGAGGGTCGATTTTTAAAATTCATAGCATTTTAAATTTCACTTACATTTTTCAATTTTAAAAACACGTGGTTTAATTTTGGTGGCATGATTTAGAGTTTGAGATGTGAAATAAGTCATTAGTTTATGAGATGTTTCATATTTTCAAAATTTATTAATAAATTATGATTGAATATAATTCAGTTATACAAACGAGTTCTAATGAGCAGTGAGCTAATTCTTGACCGAAAACTTTTAAAATTTAAGATAATGTATTTATACAATCAAAATACACCAACTAAACCATATATTGTTCGTCTCGTTTAATTAAAACAAAATAGATAGAAATATCCATAGTTTTGGGGAAACTAAGAGTTTGGTAATAATTTTGTTGCATCTCTTGTAACCCAAGGAAAAAAAAGAGAGTAGATTATACGGTTTATAGAAAGAAAAAAACAAACATGGTTCAAATTTTATATAGGTTTCTAAGCAGTAACTCCAATGGGAACATTCTTGAGTCTTGATGTTCCATAAAGGGTTTCCTCGAAGCGAATTATCTCGTTCTTTGAACCATAAGCAACTTGAGTTCTATCGTCGAGGTTGATGATGGTTTTGTCGAGCACGGACTTGTATCCGTCACTGCTGAATCCACCAGCATTCTCCACGAGTAAGCCAAGAGGAGCCACTTCGAACAATAGCCTCAACTTTGCCTTAGCCGTAGGAGAAGTCACGTTTGTAAATATTCCTTTCTCTTTCACAATAATCTGCCAAAAACATATAAGTGTTGAAGTCAAGTTTCATTCAAAAGTGGAAAAATCCGGTTTGAGTGTCAAAGAGGAACAAACCTGGTTAACGTCAGGAACCATTCCTCCGGTGTATCGGAGTGTGTACTTCTCTTTCACGTAGTAATCAATCAGCTGCATTGAAAGTAATTAAGAAGAAGAAGAGCATTCAGAGATTTGTAGATTCGAGCAAAAGTTAAAGTCGAATTTGATCGAAAGTAAGAACCTTGCTGTATTCGGAGTTGTCAAATGTGGCTCTTAAGTTTCCTGGTGAGAACATTTTCCCTTCATTAATCTCTGTTGTCTCCTTAACATGTTGCCATTTCCCTGAAAATACAGTTTGAGCTTTAGTCGAAAGCTACCAAAGAATGAATCTTTTAAAAACCGAGATTGGACTAATTGCGAAAAACCTTCATCAAGAAGCAAGAACTCATGAGTTCCTGGAAATCCTTTAACAGCCAAAACATAAGTGGTTCGTGGACCGTAGATTCCCATGGCTGCAGCCACTTGATCTCCTCCCGTAACTCCAGTTAACTTGTCTCCAGGCCAAACACCAAATATGGTTCCCACGGTGAAATTTGTATCCACAATGCTTGATCCATCCAATGGATCAAATGCAACACTAAACCCACCTGTCCAAAACAATTTTTCACAAATTTTCGATAACCATTTCCGTGGAATTTAAAAGGCGGAAATGTCAGTTAATTTTTCTGTGGACCGACCTTCCACTGGACCTCCCATGTCTTGAAGCTCAGGTACTTCTTCAGAACACGCGTACTTACACACATGCGAGTATTGTAAAGCCTATAAAAACCAATACACAATTCAAAACCTAATGACCAGTTTTCCAAAGTTTAAACTTATGAAACAAGTTATTGAAAATGTAATGAAACCTCAAAGAGAAGTTTATCAGCGAGCATATCGACAGCGAGTTGTTCATCGCCAAACGAATTAACACAAGCTGTTCCACCACAAGAAGCTGTTCTAACTTTGAAAGCTATTGTCCTCAATGCTTCTCCCATACATGTCAACAAAGTTCTAAGCCCCTTATCAGGCGTTGCTTGTGCCAAAAACTCTTCCTACACATCAAAAAGTAAGAAACTTCTACTCAAAGGATCGAATCTTTACCACATAATTTGAATAAAAGATTGGATCTTTTGTTACCAAGCTTTGGCCAATTTCACATTTGGTCACAGTTAAAGCACCGTTGCTCTTCGCCTTGGTGGCTTTCAATTGCGATCTTGGTGCTAGTCGCAGTGAATCTCCAAAGATTGAGCTCGATTTCAAACGCTGCTTATATCAAATTTTTACAATGATGAATCAGTTTTGTCACTCACTAGCATTGAACAAATCCTATACAGTACTCACACGTGTGATATATGCATAATTGTAGAAGATATACGAACCTTGAAGCTGGAGGATGCAGAGAAGGAAGAAGGAGGAGAAACCAATGTAGAGGATCGTTGAGAAGAGACGTTTGGGAGGATGATCCCACGTGAGTAGCACGTGACGCTGGTCTCCATTTGCTAATGTTTTCTGAAGCTTTTGAGGTTGATG